AAAAAAAACAAAAAAAAAAAAAAAACATTAAAAAAAACATTTAATACATTCTATACCCACAGGTAATCTCATTAAATATAACCGGTTCATGTCAGCATCCGTGGTTGATGGGCATAGGCCTACATGAGAAAACACCATTATAGCATGGAGGTATACCTCCATGATTATAGATACACTCAGCCATGTATAAACCCCTTCATGATTTAGCACCTTATTAATGAAATTTAAGATGCTATTAACTCGAATTTACCTCGGTTTGATGGTTTTATTTTAACTGCTCATAATATAACAACATTAGAAAGTACAACTCAAATAAAATTAACAGACCATTATGATTATACATTTATCTTGGTATATCATCAGTTCAGTTTATTTCTCATCAGATAAAATTTGCACAAGGCAGGACAAAAAAATATTACAATAAAAGGTGATGCAAGGATGTTCTATGAAAATTTTATTTAAGAAGTAAAACTTAATTCCAATGTGGCACTACATAAAACCAATTATAAACATGAAAGTGTACAACGATAAATACGGTGAAAATGAGGCTAAATTGTCATAGAAGTAGAAAACTCTAAAGAAGAACAACATTAATAATAATAATAGTGATAATAATAATGATAATAATAATAATAATAATAAAATATAAAAGCAGTAAACATTTAAATAATTAAAACTTTAAAATACAGACAAAATTAGGCTAAACAATTTATGTCATAACAGTAAAAAAAGCGCGAAAGAAAAAAAAAACACTTAATAATAATAATAATAATTATAAATAATAATAATAATAATAATAATAATAATAATAATAATAATAATAATAATAATAATAACAACAATACAACATACAAATTCAATAGTAAGAAAGAAGAAAGAAAAGAAATTGGGGAAACACAATAGGCCTATAATATTATATACAATATAAAACCAGTGAACATTTAAATAGTTAGAACCTTATAATACAGATAATGAGGCCAAACAATTTTGTAATGAAAGTAAAAAACTGGAAAGAAAAATAATAATAATAAAATATAATATCATTACAGTTTAGCCTCTCCTATCCAATTGCTTAAAATTAAGGAAAATATTCGAACATGCGCGGGAAGATCCCATTGGATTTCAAGTCCAACTTAACGACTCGGCCATCACAGCTGTACACATAAATTAATATATAGAAGCATCTGTTTTCGTTCATACTGTGGGCGGAGATCAAGTGGAAAACATAAACTCCATCATTACAGAGGTGAGCATAACAATGTTTTGGAGGGCCAAAGTAGCTTACCTTTAACAGAGAGAGCCGGGCAAGCAAACTTATTTCTAAGAAAGTATAATACATATTCATTGAAATACACATACACCAAAGTGTGGGATTTTCAATACAGTATTTCGACATTAATTGTCATAGTCATAATACATGTCATCATCAGGAATGAAAAATTGTCCATATTTTCAAGCTGCACAGTAATACCATAGAGAAAATAGTAATGGTAATACCGAAAAAGATTTATAAAGCTTTTGTTTGAATAAATTTCGTTAGTCTAAATAAGGTACTTCTGTTAAATGTGTGGTTAATTCCTACAGTGAGTGAGTATGCATTTAACTATTTCAAGAAATGCTCGTTGGTCTAGTGGCATGATTCTCGCTTTGGGTGAGAGAGGCCCGGGTTTAATTCCCGGACGAAAACCACTTTTTTAACTTTTTTTCTTACACACTTTTCAAACATAAAAATTTATATTGTACAGCATTATATTACTGTATTGTATTATAAAGGGTATTATATAGTCCTACTGCAAGTAAAGACTCCCCCAGCCCACCCCCACATCCACCACTGGATACACCCTTGTTGATAATTGGTCATTTTGTTTATTAGATAGATGATGCTTGGATACCAATTCAACATTTTATTGCACTACAGGCGTCTCATGAGGTACTTCCTCAATCGTCAGGTGCTAGGCTCTGAATCTGAATTTGGCTCATCCAAGTATTAAGGTTCGTTGAAGTGGAATTATTCTCGCTTTGTGAAATGTATTATTCTTTCATTACACAACGTAAGCCAAAGACCATTGGAATATTTTGTGTCGATTATGGAGGACATTTCAAAATTTGTGACAAAATGAAGCTGCATTGTATTTTTATGTATTTTTTCGCTTTTCATTTTTTCGAGGAGCTCCACTTGCTTTTATTTCTTACTTAAAAATTACATGTTTCCCTCACCCAAACCATATCCACCTGGATCCTTCCTTGACAATTGTCCATTTCTTTTATTCAGATCTTTTCGTTTTCATCCTACTTTAGGCCTATGCGCATTATAAGTTGGGCTTATTTTCAATACATTCTATGAAGTACCGTATATTGTTGTGTATCTTTTTGTAGATTTTTCTCGTTTGGATTTGCTTTGACCCAATTGTATAATTATAATACATTACAGATTACCCTCTCCAAAGCTAAAATATGAAAAGGAAAATATTCGCTGCGAGCAGGGTTCGAACCTGCGCGGGAAGATCCCATTGGATTTCAAGTCCAACGCCTTAACCACTCGGCCATCACAGCTGCCTACCACCTACTGGAAAAAGCTCACTTCCTATTTTTGTTGGCTGCATCTTTGGCCGGGCGAAGTAAACAGAAAAAGAACAGAAAAACTCCATACGCTACAGCAGGGGTGAGCATAAAATTGTTCTGAGGGTCAGACTGAATCTATGTTGTAACATCGAGAGCCGCAAGGAAACTTAATTTGGAGATTTTAAATTCCTTCACCATCATGATGTCAGTAAGAATTGGTTTACATATTTTTTTTTACATTCTAGTTAGTTTTGATCATCAAATTGTATTTGTTTTAATAATTATCAACTACAAACTTTAGTTTCGTTCATTCCGTTAATACATTACAGCGGTGGGCATAAAAATATTTCGGGGGTGAGGGAAAACTAATCTATTTTCTTTAACGAAAGCCGGGCAAGCAGGCTTGTCTAAGAAAGTATAATCAGAGAACAGTGAGATTAAATTCCCTAGTATAATACATAGGCCTACTCCAAGTATACTAAATACGCCATGATCAATATTTCAACATTTAATTATGTCATGTAATCATCAGGAATGAAAAATTAAAAATTACATACAGTGTAGGATTTTGCTCATTCAAGAAAGGCCTTGTTGTTGAGTCCCCAAAAAAGTGTGACAATAAACAAAAGAGCCAAAGCAAGCAGTTGTATTGTGATCAAAAATAGATTGGAATAGGAGTAAATAATGCAAGGTCTTATTGTGTTTTAAATCCGGCCGGGGACAGACCTCAACAATATTATGACTCTACCTATGCTATTAAATATTGGACAGACATACAAAATAAGTTGTAATGGTCAATTGCAAACAGTAGGTCAAGGTATCTAGGTATCTTTATTTTATCACAAGATTAAACCTATTTTTCATATATGAAAACAGTAAATTAGATTTGTATTGATATTGTAATCTCATCATGAGAACGCATAGGCCTACTTTAATATATAGGCCTAATGATGTTGCGTTTCAAAAACACAATTAGAAAAAAAAAAAACATTATTGAACCAAAATAGACCTAATATTAAATAAAAAGAAAAAAAAAACCACAGAAATTAATTAAATAATTGACTTGATTAGTCACCCAAGTTTCTTGAATCTTAAATGTTATCATTTGATGAGTGGCGCGTTGTGACTTCGTCACAAGGGTACTCTAAAGTGAAAAGCGTCACATGTTTCCAGGACAAGCTATTCAATTCATGTGGGCGTTCGTTACATGTGTGCTTTATTAGTGGAGTATGAATTTGGCTTACCAACTAAGGCTCGTTGGTCTAGTGGCATGATTCTCGCTTTGGGTGCGAGAGGCCCCGGGTTCAATTCCCGGACGAGCCCCTCTTATTTTTACATCTAGCATTTACCAAAAATTTTGAATTGATTTTATCAGGGAACAGTTAAACTAATTGAAATGTAATCTGCAATGTGGGTTGAAAACAGATCATTAAGATAAAGGTGCTCGATGCAGGAGCAGAGGAATATATTTTCAAAAAAAAAAGATAATAAGAAAGATTGGCCTAAAACTTGGATACCAATTCAACATTTTATTGCACTACAGGTGGTCTCATGAGGTACTTCCTCAATCGTCAGACTGCTAGGCTCTGAATCTGAATTTGGCTCATCCAAGTATTAAGGTTTGTTGAAGTGGCATTATTCTCGCTTTGTGAAATGTATTATTCTTTCATTACACAGCGTACCGTATAAACCAAAGCCCATTGGAATATTTTGTGTCCTTTATGAAGGACATTTCAAAATTTGTGACAAAATGGAACTGCATTGTTTTTTTATGTATTTTTTTCCTTTTCATGTTTTCGAGGAGCTCCACTTGCTTTTATTTCTTACTTAAAAATTACATGTTTTATTTAATAATTGTTTTATATTATGTATACTACACTCTTCTTTTTTTTTCCTTGAATCTTAAACGTTATCATCTGATGAGTGGCGCATTATGACTTCGTCACAAGGGCTAAAGTGAAAAGCGTCACATGTTTCCAGGACAAGCTGTTCAATTCCTAGTGGAGTATGAATTCGAATTACCAACTAAGGCTCGTTGGTCTAGTGGCATGATTCTCGCTTTGGGTGCGAGAGGCCCCGGGTTCAATTCCCGTACGAGTCCCATTTTTTTTTTGAATAGATTTATAATTAATGTACATTTTATATATTTTTTTATTAAACAGCTTATAATAGAGATAACCAAAGCACATTGTACAGAAGAATAGTTTGAATAACAGATGCAATATACATGATTTATGTTAATCAAAATCACAACAATCAACTTAGTTTTGAGGTTAATATTCAAACACCTTCTTCACAATTTTTCAGATATATTTTCTGAGCCTAGCCTTAAAAATCAGTGGTACCAATCGCCATTATAATTCCCTTAAAAAGAGTGACAATGAAATCCAAAGCAAGCAGTTGATTTTTTCTTATGTTTACCCACTTATAAATCGGAAGTGGGCACGTATAATGTATCCTGATTTGTTTTTTCTTATTTCAATACATAACCAGGTATGTTTTGACTTATAAAAATGTAGTGGGAGCCCCCTCCTCCACCCAACCCATATCCACCATTGGATCCTCCCTTGATATTTGTTAATTTCTTTTATTCCGATCTTTTCGTTTTCATGCTTGGCCTACTTTAGGGCTATACGCATTATAAGTTTGGCCTATTTGTCAATACATTCTATGATATATTACATATTTTTGTGTATCTTCGTTTGGATTTGCTTGTATATTTATAATACATTACAGTTTACCCTCTACAATGAAACCCAAGGCAAGCAGTTGATTTGTTCTTATTTTTACCCAGTTTTAAATCGGAAAGGGGCACGTATAATGCATCCTAATTTGTTTTTCTTATTTCAATGCATAACCAGTTATGTATTGGCATTTAAAAAATGTAATGGGAAACCCCCTCCCTCACCCAACCCATATCCACCATTGGATCCTTCCTTGATAATTGTTCATTTCTTTTATTCAGATCTTTTCGTTTTCATCCTACTTTAGGCCTATGCACATTATAAGTTGGGCCTATTCTCAATACATTCTATGAAGTACCGTATATTACATACTGTTGTGTATCTGTTTGTAGATTTTCCTCGTTAGGTTTACTTTGACCCAATTGTATAATTATAATACATTACAGATTACCCTCTCCAAAGCTAAAATATGAAAAAGGAAAATATTCGCTGCGAGCAGGGTTCGAACCTACGCGGGAAAATCCCATTGGATTTCAAGTCCAACGCCTTAACCACTCAGTTACTCAAAAAAGGCTCGTTGGTAGTGGCATGATTCTGGTTGTGTCATGATTCTCGCAATGGTATTGTGAGATTTTAATATTCTACATTAGCTGGCGATAGTAGTTACATAAAGCTGTGATGCAATTGAGCGTTCTACATAACCTAGGGTTGATTTCCTTTTTACACACAAGCTGTTGGTGTTTCTACATTAGCGAGTGGGGAGTTTTACTACATAAGCTTTGGAGTGTGCCATATACATTAACGGTTGTTTACTACATTACCTGTTGTTTTCTACATTAGCGGTTGTAACAATCATTCATGCCGTATCATCCATGTGGAAATTGAGATGTACTTTTGTGCTACGTCATTCGTACGCTGGGAGAAGTGATTGGCAACGACGATGTTAGAGATAGCGAATACTGCCAATGTTCAAACCAGACGAAATGCTAACTGATAAAGCTATATCGACTGCAGCTTGAGCACGTAAACCTGATTTGCAGGCCTCTTGATAAATTAACTTTAATACAAGCTCATTATCGTACTTGATAAGATAATCACAATATCAATAAAAAAGAAATAATTTTAATTAAAAGAAAGATTTCTAGAACAGTATAGAGTTATCATTATAGAGTTATTATTATACTGTCTTATCTGAGATTAATCAGTGGACCTTTCGGTCATTGACAGTTTATTCACATTATTATTATAAGGCCCATCATTAACCAAAAAATAAAGAATTAGCCAATACGCAGAGTAAGGCCTATTTTCAATATATTTAATGAACTTAATACATCTTTGTGTATCATTTGATCGAATTTCATACCATTAAATTGAAAATATTCATTTAAATATTAATTTAAAAAATATTCGCTGCGAGCAGCGTTCGAACCTGCGCGGGAAGATCCCATTGGATTTCGAGTCCAACGCCTTAACCACTCGGCCATCACAGCTGCACGCAACATAGAAGATCATACATGAAAGCTTTACCCCTATTTCTGTGGGCAGTCACATGAATAGAAATAAACAGAACAACTCAAATCACGCACATTATTCTACATAACTTTGTACACAGCAGGGGTGGACATAAAAATGGTTCTGAGGGCCAAACTGAATTTCGAGCTTTTGAATTCCTCCACTTATGTCAGTTGTGTCATAGTTTTACATTTATTTTAAATTTTGATAGAAAATATGTGTTGATCATTAACATTTGGACCCCATTGGAGATAGGTTGCCATTTGGAGACTTTGTGGGTTATCCGGGCGATCTACTTTATCTTTTTCGTAAAATAGTTAACAATTGTTTATTTATCCGTTCATCGTTATTTTATTTTCTATTTTATTTCTTTCCTTTCGTGTTGATTCGTATTAATTGTTTGCCGAATAAAGAAATAAATAATAAATTGTATATATAAAATCTAACTTTAAAAGTTTTACCTACAAAAACAATATTATTTATTTTAAGTTAATCGTAATGAAAATCTTAAAAGCCTGAAGGAATTAAGAAGTGTTGAAATGACACCTGTAGGCTACATTATTTCTAATATTATACTAAAGAATATTGTCGATGGCAAAGCATACTTACCGGTAGGGTCAATTTCCGTCGGAAGTTTTCAAGATGATAAACAGTTTCATTGGACTAAATTCTTACTTATGTTAACCACTTGCTTACCTAAGATTGTACTGATACTGGTTTCAAATATCAGTCAAGTAGTTAAAAACCATCTAAAATCACCTTATTTTGCGAATTAGCGCCACTCAACTGATCATCGAGTCCCCCTCCTACTTCACCTTTGTAGAGGTATCTACAATATGCGCTATATAAGTCGACAATTATTATTATTAAAAATAAATCTTAAAACATGTGAAGGTGTTTGAATATTAATCTCAACACTAAGTTGATTGTTGTGATTTTGATTAACATAAATCATGTATATTGCATCTGGTATTCAAACTATTCTTCTGTGCAATGTACTTTGGTTATCCCTATTATACGCTGTTTAATAAGAGATATAAAATGTACATTAATTACAAAATCTATTAAAAAAAATTAGGGCTCGTCCGGGAATTGAACCCGGGGCCTCTCGCACCCAAAGCGAGAATCATGCCACTAGACAAACGAGCCTTACTCGGTGAAGTCAACTTCATACTCCGCTCCTCTGTACTACCTGATGGCAAACAATGACCTCATTGTTGAAACACATTGATTAAAAGTTAGTAGACTAATTTGCATATTTATTATAAGCAGAAAACATTTATAATACAGAATCATTGGTGTTATATTTATACTTGAAACGATATACGCTTATAAAAACTAACTTAAAATTTAAATACAAAAAGTGTATTATATATTATATAAGATGATCGTAATGAAAATTTTAAAAGCCAGAAGAAAAGAAGTGTTGAAATGACACCTGTAGGCCACAGTATTTAATATTATACTATAGAATATTGTTGATCGCCTAACATACTTACCTGGCACAGGAGTGACTTTGATCAAGAAGGAATGTCCTCCCAAGGTGAGGCCTCGGCATTGCACTAGGCTGAGGTTGACCCTTGCGATTCCTCCAAATGTGGGGAACTCGGGTGTATAATTTATGGTAGCGGGGGACTGCGTTCGCGCTAACCCCTAACAAGAATTGAAAGATAGAATTGATATGTAAACACTTTACAAATAGTATTTCTGTTTGCTTGAATGAGGTTATGCGGGTACAGAAAACTTACACCGTTAAAAACTTGAAAATATTTGATATGTTTGGTTTGTATATTTCGCTATTAATGAGAAATTGCCTATATTTTATATCGAATGTTGTTCTTTATTCGTATTTGTATAAAATATATTCTATAATCAACTTAAAATCGTTAAAAGATGTAATTGCTTACTAAAATATGTATAAATTTATTTAATATCATTGCAAGTATAAATATAACACCAATGATTCTGTATTAGAAATGTTTTCTGACTATAATCTAATCTACGTAAGGCGTTTGACACTGTCAACCATAAAGTCCTTCTTGATAAATTGTCCCGGTATGGTGTACATCCTTCTGCCAACATTTGGTTTTCCTCTTATCTTCATAACCGCACACAAACTGTCAAATTCAAGAGCACCTATTCTGATTTCCGCACTGTTAAGTATGGTATTCCTCAAGGGTCCATTCTGGGCCCACTTTTATTTACTATTTTTATTAACGACTTGGCCCTTGCTACTAAACACAGCACTGTTGACCTGTATGCTGATGACACCTCACTTTATTATTCTCTCTCTAACATTGATATTATTAACAACAGGTTATCTGAAGACATAGACATTATCCATACCTGGCTTATTTCCAATAGACTAACTCTTAACATTGACAAAACTGAGGTTGCTCCAAACTTGCACATAAAATTCACATTTTAGCCAGAATAAGAAAATGTATTGACTCTCGCACAGCACTCTTATTCTATAATACACTAATTCTCCCACATATTGACTACGGTGCCCTCTTGTGGGGTACAAGCAGCTTGCATAACACCGAAAAAATTCAGAAATTGCAAAATCGGGCCATGAGAATCATAATTAAAGCACCTCCACTTCAACTAACACACTTCTATCCATAAAAAAAAAAAATAAAAATAAAAATAAAAAAAAAAATATAATAAATATGCAAATTAGTCTACTAACTTAGACTAATTTGCATATTTATTTAATATCATTTCAAGTATAAATATAACACCAATGATTCTGTATTAGAAATGTTTTCTGACTATAATAAATATGCAAATTAGTCTACTAACTTTTAATCAACGAGTTTCAACAATGAGGTCATTGTTTGCCATCATGTAGTAGCCTACAATACGCCTAAAAGCTATATTGATATACGTAAAACTATAATAAACTTGAAAATTTCCCCACCCCAAAGAAACCCCACATTTGGGGGAATCGCAAGGGTCAACCTCAGCCAAGTGCAATGCCGAGGCCTCACCTTGGGAGGGCATTCCTTCTTGATCAAAGTCACTCCTGTGCCAGGTAAGTATGTTTAGCCATCAACAATATTCTATAGTATAATATTAGAAATACAGTGGCCTACAGGTGTCATTTCAACACTTCTTTTTCTTCTGGCTTTTAAAATTTTCATTACGATCATCTTATATAATAAATAATACACTTTTTGTATTTAAATCTTTTAAAGTTAGTTTTTATAAACGTATATCGTTTCAAGTATAAATATAACACCAATGATTCTGTATTATAAATGTTTTCTGATTATAATAAATATGCAAATTAGTCTACTAACTTTTAATCAATGTGTTTCAACAATGAGGTCATTGTTTGCAATCAGGTCAGTACAATACGCCAAAAAGCCATTGCTTCGTAAAACTACAATAAACTTGAAATCCTACCCATTCCAAAGAAACTTACATTTTTAACGATATAAAGTTGATTGTAGAACATATTTGTAGAATATATGATAAAAAAAAAAGGGAAAAAAAACCTTCCGTATAAAATATATTTCATTTTACTGGATAGCGAAATATATATATACAAATCAAGCATATATCCAATATTTTCAAGTTTATAACGGTGGCAGGTTGTCTGCACCCGCATAACATATTATTCTTAAAATTATGCACCACATTGAAACAAACGGAAAATACTACA